AGGGCATCTGGCGCAGCTCGGTACTGGCGTGGAGCGGAGGGCATCTAGCGCAGCTCGGTACTGGCGTGGAGCGGAGAGCGTCTAGCGCAGCTCGGTACTGGCGTGGAGCGGAGGGCATCTAACGCAGCTCGGTACTGGCGTGACGGCTACTTTTGATTGCATCCTGCTGGAGGTGGCGGTGGGTGTCGCTCTACGTCGGCGTCCTGTGACAACTTCCAGCGGACGGTGCCACCTTCCAGCGGACGGTGCCACAGCCGGAGGCGTGCACATGCACAGATCGCTCTGGTGCCGGCCGCTGACCGTCGCCGGGGTCGCACGGGACCGTCGTTGGCAGTCATTCTGACGGCTTCGCGGTCGTGGGAGCTGGTGCATGCATGTTCGGGAACAGGAGACATTGTCACGCCTGTGCCGGGCCGTTGCTTCTGGCTCCGTTACGAAGACAGCCGGGTCGACCGGTCCGCTCAGGTGAGTCTGACTTATGATCCGCTTCGTCGTGACCACCGGGCCTGTTGTCTGGAACACGTTACCCATTACAGTCGGCCTCGTTCCCAAAATAACGCATTCTGTTCTGGTCTCTGTCTTGGACCATTTAGCCAAACCTATTGTGTTTGAGACGACAAGGTCTCGCCTCCCGCCCCTCCCACTGTCCATTACACACATTGCTCACGCCTTTCCGCATTCCCTGGCACAATATGGATGCCCTATCTTTTTTAAAGCTCAGCTGCGTGCGGGCGGGTCGTAGCTATTGCCTGCCACTGCTGCCTGGGGAATGCATAGCTTCGGGCGGGTTGTAGCGCTACTGCCTGCCACTGCTGCCTGGGGAATGCGTAGCTTCGGACGGGTTTTAGCTACCGCCTGCCGCTGCTGCCTGGGAAATGCATAGCTTCGGGCGGGTTGTAGCTACTGCCTGCCACTGCTGCCTGGGAAATGCACATCTGCTACCATCGGTCCCGCCGCGGCCCGCGGCTGCCTCAACAAACGTTTCAATATCCTATTTCCACGAAGACTGCACCAATATGCTGTTTTTATCTGTATGTTCGCTGACCACTGCGCTCGTTCTTCAGACCTTGCCCGTATTCCTGCCGCGCCTGTATTCCGCACCTCCAACACCAGCAGCACTCTGTGGTCCGGCCCGCTGCCCGGTCCGACCCACTGCCCGGTGCAGTTCGCTGCCTGATCCGGCTCGCTGCCCGGTCCGGCCAGCTGCCCGGTCCGGCCAGCTGCCCGGTCCGGCCTCTGCCCGATCCGGCCCGCTGCCTGACCCGGATTGCTGCTCGGTCCGCCCCCATTCTCCGTCAACTTCTCACCCGCAGCCCGCCACCTTCTGTTTGATCGCTGCCCGGTCACTGCCCGCCGCCGCTGCCCGGTTTCACGGCGCCGACTCGCATCTATCAAGGCCGCAGACATTGCGGCCGTACGTGATGGAACGGCCGCTATATAAGGAGAGAGCCGCCGCGCGGACCACGTGACGGGGGCGGGCCGGCCGGCCGGCCGCTGGACGAGCGCGCGCTGCCCAACGGCCGGCCGTGCGCCGCTCGGTGACCCGGCCGCCCGAACCAGCGCTGGCAGAGGAGTAGCGCTCGCCGGCGCACGCGCGCCGTGGCCGCGAATCGGGTGCATCCGGCTGACGGCGTTCATTATAGCTCTTTTGAAACAACTTATGCTGGCTAATAAGCTTAAGGCAACGAGCGACTTATGAGGCAACTGAAGATAAAAAGAAGTAAAAGGTGTTCTTTGTGTCTTCACATCGCTAGGGATGTGCAAGCCTGGAAGACCAGGCGAACCATACACAACGTTCGCTGCTACTGCGAGCTGGATGTAACATGACTGCGCGCAGAAGCCAAATGCGTGGGAATGCAGGAAACTTAGTGTTTCGCCTCTCTCATATGCCCCCATATAATGGCATGGCGCAACCTGCACGCACGCACGCACGCACGCACACACACACACACACACACACACACACACACACACACACACACACACACACACACACACACACACACACACACACACACACACACACACACACACACACACACACACACACACACACACGGACGCGCTTTCACCGGCAGGCCCAGCAGTTGCCATCTGGAGCGGCCAGCCTCGCGCCCGGATGAAAGGATGACGCCGCCGCCGCTGGCGGTCTTCAGCCGTCCACGCGCGTGTTGGCGGACGGCGGCCCTGGTGATGCGCCAGCCTCGCGAGCGCAGGCGCGTCGCGCCGCCGCCACCCACCTCGGTATCGATCTGCTGCTGGCAGTCTCCCACACGTGCCCGTCACTCCCAGCCGACACCCTGTCACGGTTCGCGACCTGCCGCACGACTCGACTGCGCGACCGGTGAGTCCGACGCCACGCAGTCGACAGGCCGCGAACACCGGCCGGCTGGCCGGCTGGTCCGTACGTTCCTGACCGCAGCCGGTAGGTGGCAGCAGCGTCGCCGCGGAGGCGGGCCGACAGCCGCCGCCCAGTTGGTGTGTGGGCTGCTCACATTGAGTGGCTGAAATGCACGTTGACTGGGACAATGACCGGGAGTGTGGCTATCGCTTAGTCGCAGTGATCTGCTCGACTCTGTTTTAGGTGCACAAGTCACGGCTCGGTGCACGCGAGAGTTTATTTTGCTCGGGCTCCAGCTGTTCGCTTGGTATTTGCATGTTGTGGAACATCGCGCCAGTTCGTACGACTCGTGTTGATCCCGTGTCGCTGCGATAAAATGCGTTGAGATCTGAGTCCTGACTCGGGGTGTGCTGCGCCACTGTTCCACAAATAGCCAACTAGAAATACTCATTGTAATCGGACACGGTGCAATGCTTCTGGAAAGACACTTGTCTTTATGCATCTTCCATGAAAACGCCTTGACAATCAGGCGGTGCTTTTGTTTTTCAGTCCGAATGGTGCTATCAGTCATCAGTTGCACATGTGTCACACATGCCTACCGCGACCCATATTAGATGATCATCGTCGGACCTTACTATTGTCCTTATCAAATACGAAAGTTTAAAAAAACACTGGTTCCATATCTCTCTATTGAGTCTAGTACACCCATGGAAACCCCTCCCTCCCCCATACCGTCTGTCCCGCGCTGGACCGGCCCGGTGACGCCGGGTCACCGGGCGCACGGACCGTCCGGTGACGTCGGGTCACCGGGCGCACGGACCTCCTGGCCGTGCCACGGAGGACCCCGGCACCCGCACCAGGGGGCTACCAACAGACCATTACACAACAAAGACATGGTTTTTCTCCAAGCCTTTCATCGTGTTCTGTTACCCCTTTTAAAGTAAAAAACTGAATTTACGCTTCAATTGAACAATATGAGCTCCTCGCGCAATAGGCACATTGTTATGCCCGTACTACACCCACGGTCGGCATTACAGATTTTGCAGTCAACCCGCGGTGTCATCCGGCGCAGCTAACACCATGCGCGGCGGTGTCATCCGGCGCAGCTAACACCGTGCGCGGCGGCGTCATCCGGCGCAGCTAGCACCATGCGCAGCGGCGTCATCCGGCGCAGCTAACGCCATGCACGGCGGTAGGCGCGCGGGCAAAAACGATCACTTATCGAAAATGATTTTTTGTGCGCTTTTCGAAATTTATTCGTGAGGATATTGCGTATCCTAGCTCGCAAATATTACCTGTGCAGTCTTCGGACTGATATCCCGAATAGACCAGGAGTTATAGCACCAAGGATCTTTGCAAAAGGAGCACTAGCATTAAAGTAAAATCCCGGTTGATAGTTTTGCTGTCACTGACGATCCTTTCGAAAGATCAGCTAGAAAATCGCACAAGTGGTATATACGTCTCAAACTACCCAGATCCGTACGAATTTATTCCATAAAGCACTTTCATGGTCGCTTTCGGCTGCCAACCAGCCGCCTGTTGCCAAGCTCGGCGGCCAAAGGTGCGCCGCCTGTGCAGACTGCAGCGCCGCGCGTAGATGCGTTGGCGCTGACACATTCGGAGTGTGCGATCCCAAAAGTACCGGAGACCAGATATGCTCGATCAGCGCGACCATCCTTGCCTCAGCAACTCGGTGGTTTGGCCATCAGCGCCGACCCAGGTGATATGCTGACGTGGATCATACAGTTGTGCTGATCTTAACTGCTGGTCAAAAATCGATCACCACGAAATTGTGTGGTGACATTGAGAAATGGGAGTGATGCGCAAACGGCGAGAGAAATGGGAGTGATGCGCAAAATTTTAGTTTATTTTTCAAATATATTTCATAGACTCCAATAGACAGCGGGGAAATGCGGAGACCAGTAATATTGTACACTTTATTTTTAAGGTCTGGCTGAAAGGCTCAAAGCTGCAGGCAACCCTAATAATTTTTGAAGCATTTTACGCGACTGGTTGCAGTTGGACGCGGTGGTAGCGGTTGGTGAAATACCCCATCCCAATACGGTGTCGGATTAATGCCGTATGTACGTGCTTCTATTCCAAAGATGCGGGGAACATATTGAGCTTCGGGCCAAGTTGCAAATGCAGCAATGTTCTCATCACAGGCGCGCTTTAACAAGGCATTTAATCGGGACGGCAGTCATCTCGCAGTCATCTTGCAGCAGATATGAGTTACGCAGCTGTCCGCTGTTACAACCGGATGATCTAGGTCAGCGTGGAGCGGACTGGCCTAGCCCTGGGCGGTCTCGAGCGGACTGGACTAACCCTGGGCGGGCTCGGCGTCGCTCCCAGCCGGCGGGTCCGCACGGCCCCTGAATAGCAAGTGTGCGCGACCAACGTGACGGTTATCCGTTCACAAGAGCGCACGGTCAGCGCTGGAGCCGCTACGACGCGCGTGCACTCAGACCTGTCGGCACTGCCAGTCAAACACCGATGAATATGTGGTTTAGAGTGCGTAGACAACGATTAGACTACAGGAGTCAGAAACGTAATAAGTCTGCAACCTTCATCAGTCTCGTTTTGCATCCCAGGGAAACTCTGGCCATTTTTAGACGGCGACAACTTCAGCTGTGGCTTTCATGCTCATGATTCTGCTTACCTTGCGCGATGGCTGCTCCTTTCGTGCAGCGGTCAGGCTCTTTGTGGTCACTCGGCCCATCCTCATGGCATCCAGCAGGTCGTCCGCGAGCTCCTCACGCGACGACTGGCGGCTCTTCACTAGGGAAATCTTTTGCGCCGAGCCGAATGTCTCGCGCTCCTCTGACCGCCCACTGGCCCGGTCGCCGTCCACATCCTGAAACTCGACGACGATCCAGGGCCGGCGCTCGGCAGCGCGCGAGCCGCCCAGGCTGGCGCGCAGCAGGCGGGGATGCAACCGCTTCAGCAGGCTGGTGAGCGTGCGGCGCGGCTTGTGCGCCGGCGGCTCCACAGTCCGAGGCATGTTTGGCATCGTGTTGAATTTCTTGCTCCAGAGACTGAGCGGACTGCCCGGCACGCTCTGCGACAGCGTCCCGAGCCCGAGCGGCACAAGTTCGCCACTGCCATCTATTGTGTATTTTCGCAGGTACTCGTGACTCTGCGCGGCGCGTAGTTCGCGTGGCGCTGCCGTCAGCGGCTCGCCGGCCAGGTGCTCCTCGGAGCGCGTCGCCTCGCGCCAGGCCAGTGGTGAGTGCTGCCGACCCTCGGCGGCCAGAGGCTGTCGGTGCACCTGCAGCATGTTCTCGCAGGACTTGGTGGCGGGCACGGCGCGGCTGTCCGCGCAGATCACGTTTTCCAGAGACTTGACGGCTGGCCGTGACCGCAGCCGGCCCCAGCTCAACGTGCGCATGCCATCCGAGAGATGCGTGCACGCGCGCCGCTTCTTCACGCACTTGGGACAGCGCGGCTCGATGGCGGCGGCTGGTGGCGGCGGCGCCGGCGTCCGGCCCGCCAGCCCGGCGTAGCTCTCCATGCGCCGGTGTGTGTACTTCACGCAGAGCTGGACAAAATTGAGTGGCGGCAGACTGCGGTACTCAGCCGACGAGAGTCGGACCAGCTCTATCTTGGGCTGGCTCATGCCGCGCGCCGGGACACGGGGCCATCGCTGTCGGCGGCCGGGGCGCCGGTGACGTCTGGCTGGCGGCTGGCCAGGTCAGCAGCCACCGGCGGCCGCTGCCAGCTCTGACGGCGCCCTCTGAAACAGACGCAGCCTGCAGTCACACCGGGCGCGGAAAGAAACGGCTGACTCGTGGAACGCCGGCCGCAGGCGTGGCGTCGCTGTCCAGTTATTCACAGCACAGGGGCGGTCTGAGCGCGCTCAGATGTCGCTGAGATGATCAGTTTGTCTCGTTTTGGCCGACCGCCTGCACCCGCACTTACATTTACGTGGAAGAGTTTAGCCCCTTTAACTATGCGTCGTTCCATGTTTTAATTTCGCCAGGTTTTGAGAAATCACAGGATGAGTTGTTCTGAACGAGCAGTTGTTTGAGAACTGTCTAAGACATCTGCACTGAAATTCAGAGCATTCAGTAACTAAAGCACACTGACACACAGCAAAACCAGACATATCAAAGAAAATAAACATGAAATTCATCAATGAAATCATCGATGAAAAGCGGCCTACTCCACAAGTTAGGAAAGGCATGGCATATACTCCACCCCTCAACAAAGGTGGAAGGAAGAGCAGAGCATGCCAGCTGCAGTACTCTCCGCTGGCGGGTAGATGGGCATGACATCTACTCTACCTCCAACGCTTGTGAAGAAAACGACACGACATAACAATCGCTCATCACGCACAGAGCGGGACATGACGGCCGCTTCATCCACCCCCACCCCACCCCTAGCCAGTCACAGGCAGCGGCCTTAGGACTGCGTGATGGTCTAGGGGTGGGGGGGGGGGCAAAGTGGTTAATTTTGGTCCCCACGTGGGGGCCTGGGTTCGAACACCAGCTGCGAGATGGCCGCTGAGCGACAATACTGGTACTTACGTCGTCAGCGCTGTCGAGGCGTGTTCCCTTTTATAAAATACAAAACTGAGTCAAAGTCTGAGTCCAAGGTGAGTCTTGCTGTCTCCAGTCTGAGTCCAGGCACGCAGCCTGCCCTTCGCGGATGGCATAATTCCACGTACCAGGTCCTCGGACCTTAGGTTAAGTGCAAGCTCACAAGTTTTCTCAGCACTTGAGTCCGAGTGTGAGTCTGAACCCCAAGACGCTGCGTGCGAGTCCTGCTATAAACCCCACAACCTAAAATCAGAGTGCATCATTTGCTTACGAGATCGTACCAGGCAAACGGCACATTTTCTAAATAAATTCAGCTTTCATAGGATTGGCATAGGAAGAAAACCTCCTTTAATTTGATTGAACGAGTCATATACCAAACAGATGTCTCGGTAACGCGTGTAACCAACCAGGACAACATAAAGCTGTCATAAGCTAGACTAACCGGACCTAATGTCCTGCCGTATGTCCTGTAGGCAGATTGTTGTGTGTTCCGTTGCTGTTGCTGTGTACCCCGTAGGCAGGCAGCTCTTATTGTATGTCCCGTAGGCAGGTAGCTGTTGCTGTTGTGTTGGATATCTATATCGTGAAGAACAAGTAATTTTTTCAGGTGATATATTCGGTTATCAACATGAGTCTGCAGAACTCATAAGAGTTATCCGAGTATAAGCTGTATGAGCTGTGGCTACAGAGGCCTAAAAATGCAGCACTGAGTAAAGATCCTCTTTACAATTACCTAGCTTGGTTTCAAGCTCATCTGTGTTTTAATGCATTTTGGTTTAGGTCTAATTATGTCTAGGTCTAATTAATTTTAACTTAATTATAATGTACTAATTTTAGCAATTATATATATATAAATATATATATATATATATATACATATAATATCTATTATAATACAAATAATTTTAACTAATAAATACTAGGTCTAATTATTTAGGTGTAATATGCGCAAGTCCAAAGGCTCTTGAAACTATGAGTTCCGGTCCTACCGGCAATCCCGCACATTTGAATTTAAGTCTGGCGCCGAATGCAGCATTTTTCACACAGATGAGCACTAACCCGAGATTACGATTGATAGAATTTAGGCTTAATGAATTTACTTGAGCTCAAGCGTCAAAGGCTCATGAGTCCAATTTCGAATCCTAGTCTGGATGGATGCAATCATATTCCTGCCCTTTATCATGGTTGTCAGGGAATATATAACGCATACTCCATTCCCTTGCCACGCACATGGAGACGTCCCCTTCTCCCCACCACATTTGGGAGGAAAGGCGAGACATCCACTACCTCGCACCGACCGCACGTGGGAGACAGGGTATGACACCCATTCCCTCGCAAGGACCGCACGTGGGAGGCAGGGTATGCCACCCACTCCCTCGCACAGACCGCACGTGGGAGGCAGGGTATGCCACCCACTCCCTCGCACAGACCTCACGTGGGAGGCAGGGTACGGCACCCCTGCGCCCCGTCATGTAGCGTGGGCTCAGGCCGCCAGCCAGCCCGGAAAGTGGCGCTGCCAGGACATATTTACACAAGCCCAGCGACATGACTGGCCACTGTTGAGTCACAAACGAGGTTAGGGCCCCGTCGTCCAGAACGGTCTGAGGTCACAGTGCAGCCCCCTCCCAATCACCACCGGACTCAGAGGCGCGGAAAAACACAGCATCAGTTGTTGAAATGAACAGAGTGACGTACCGGAAAGTCCATTAACGAATTGCCAAAGGAGTTTCAACATCGTCATTACTCAAAATATATTGCTAATTGCATTGGTCGTAGCTGGCGGATATGGCGGCTGGCGGATGGCGGTCGTAGCTGGCGTAGCTGGTGTTGCCAGCCAACATCAGATCGTTGGTATGGTGCTGTGGCTCCGTCAGTGATTCATATAACTGACGACACATGTCAGCGGTATGGTGTTACACGGCTTGCGTCGTCACGACTGGCGATTGACCGCCATAGTGAGGAGACCAGAGACCACATGTTGCCGCTGAATAAACCATGCCTTGTTTAAAAGGCGAAGGCCCCGCGATCGTGCTGCGGCGTTCCGCTCGTTACCTATAACTGCAGGAAGAGGTAAAGGGGTTATCCCGCCCCTTTACACTCCTCACTTATTGCTACATCAGGCATGTGGAATTTGATCACCAATACCGGTTTTCTCGAGCTCCTTCTGAACAGTTCAGAATTTCGATTTAAAGTAGACGACTTTGCAGGAAAATATCATTTGACTCCATGCTCACCACCATGATAGTAATGCATTTATTTTGCCTTGGTTTTTCCAACGTATGTGTTTTATACTGTTTACAACAAGCTAATGCATCTAAATGTTTGCGTAGTAAATGCTACGGAAGCTTGCAACACCGTTTAGACGAAAAGATGTGCGAACACAAATCCATTACTCTGCTTATTCAACGAACAGCTATACTATGGCTTTGGTTTCTCCCCTATGGTATTCACCACAGTGGCTCTTTTCGAGGCGCACTTTGGGTTTGGGAATGAGAGTATCATATGATATATGTGGCGCACTGGTTTAAGCTTACACCAACCAACTTTTCGGTAGCTTTTGTTTTTTTCCGGACGTTTGCAATTGCCCGCTGGGCCAATTACAAACGTCTTTTTTATTCGCACCAGTATACTTTTGGGAATCTTTACTGCGCATCTCTGCTGCAGTAGGGGTGTGCGCGGTGGTTATCATGACGACGGTAGTCGCGGCTGCAGGGCAGAACCGTAGAGCTGTTGCAAAGTGTTAACAGCGTAATTTGAACTCGAAAAAAGTAAAATCGATATCCTTATTATGTCTGGACGCTGCTGCTGTGGCACTACCCAATGGTACTTCGAGATGTAACTAGCCCAGAGGATTCACTACAGTACGTTTTTGAAAATTGTCCCCCGGGTGGGGTGCTCCTAAAGATATAAACAAAGATATCCAGCCAGCAAAGGGCCTCAAGGACCCATCAAGGCTAGCCTACTTTAGGCTCCGTACTTATCCTTGAGAATAATCACCTGACCTGCACAAATTTGGCTATGAATGAGATCTCTAGACCGACATAACTTGTCCCAACGGTTTCCGAATGTTGCCAGAGAGGGACTTCCTACAACTTCGTTTGCCAGCCTATTCCAATGGCTCACTACTCTTTGACTAAATGACATCTGTCTCTTCACAGTTCTACTCCTACCTTTTTCTAAATGAAACTGGCTTCCCCTATGACTCGGCCCAATTTCCGGATCGCATGTAGATCTACCTTGTCTATCCCGTTCATAATCTTGCGTGCCTCTGTCATATCCTATCTAAGTCTGTTATTTCAGTGAATACAAATCCAAGGCCCTGAGCCTATCCTTGTAGTCTAAGTCACCAATCCCACACATCGCCCTGGTTGCTTTGTACTGTACCCTTTCCAACCTATCTACAACCTTTTGGAAGTATGGAGACCACGAACGCACACGGTACTCTAGGTGTGGTCTCACATAACTCTCACTCCCTTTAACTCATGGTCAGAACAAGACAGAATGCTCGCAAGGTATCTGTCATCCTGTTTTTCACGGAAAACTGTCATACGTTAGGCTACCAAGGCTGTAATACACTTTTGGTGTCTCGCCGCATGTTTTTGCTAACGCAGGTGGGATTGTGTGGAAAGCGATGCTGTTTTACTGGCATGGGTCCACTCACGTTCCTCAACGAAGCCATAGAACCGTGAAATGTGATAGTACATCTAGGGTATCGACAACTGTTTACCCAAAAATGGAGCCGCAGCTTCCTGGATGTAAGGTTTCTTTGCTGAACGTAACTCGCACCATATCAGCTGACGAATTTGACGATCCAATGGAAGGGAGATGCGCAAAGCGTTCTTTTAATTCGGCTTCCAACGCGTTCCCAAATAAACTCACTCAAAAATGTGATGCAACGATGTCTGCATGGACAATACGTCGCTTAAAATGCGGTCTTACCGACTGTAGCGAGTGGCAGAGTGCCTGCGTCGCATTTGTCTGTCATTTCTGTATACCACTTCCGGCAACCACGCCGAATGCTTCCTGCCGATTACTCGCTATCTTTGGCCGGTTCCGCAGTGCCGCAGTGAGTGTCGGAGATGTGAGAACAATGCACCATTTTCTATATTCTTTTCCAACTCCCTTTAAGATTCGGTCCACTAGCACAGTTTCCTCGGTCGGACAGGTTTAAACGCTTCGCTACACGGCCTCTAAACTACACAGCGCTTACCGTTGGACGGCGGACGGCTTCAACTCACGCGACCGGGACGGCGGCGTTTAACGAGCGGTGGGGAGCAGCAGACGGTAGACCGGGTGACCCGTCACGTCAGGCGCGTTACGACCGCGCTGCCGCTCCGTGCCTCGCCGCGCCGACACTGTGCAGACCGCCACACGGACGCCGCTGAGCGGTGGCAGCGGCGCCGGGCCCGCCCGCAGAGGAACGACAACACAGGCGGCTGTCCGCTTCTGTGGAGCGCTAACGTAACACCGCGGATTTCCAGCACACACAAGCGCGGAGCCCAGAGCTGAGCGTCCTGGCGGGGCGTACGCTCGAGAACACACCGGCGAGCGGGCCGGCGGAGCCCGAGCCGACCCGGGGGCACGCGCGCTCCGATGGTGCGCGCCGCCGGGCTCGCGGACCGTGTCAGCGGCGCGGCCGGGACCGACTGCAGGCCGGACTGCTGCAGCCGTCGGCCCGGCGCCCGGCGAGCCGACCGTGCAGCACAAACACGGCGGCGGCGGCGGTGGCCCGCCCCGCCCCCTGCAGATGCCGACGGCCGATCCATTGACCTGAGAACGACGCATGCGCCAGGCACAGGGACCGCGTCAATCGCGCGCTGTCCGCGGTCGCCGCGGACTTACCGCCCTCCTGCAGAAGCGCCGGCGGCCCCCGAACCGGTCTGACTCAGCCCCGCCTGCTACCGGACGCCGCGGTGCCTCAAATGGACCGTGCAAAAGTGTATCACGGGTCGTGGCAAAACAA